CAGCTGACAGCACCACAAAGGCACACTCCTAGCCTCTCAATCCTATTGCCAGCAGCCAGGGCAATGACAACCTTCCACCGCAGTGTCAGTCTGGGAATGATGAAGCCAGAGCAGTAGGTAGTCACTAGGAGTAGGACATAACTATTAAAAGTTGCCAGTTCATATAAGTACTCCATTGTCACTCATTTTAGCGTGAAATTTGCTGTAAGGGCATAATCTCAAGTGTTCTGGAACAATAATCTACAGCATTGCAATTCTTGATGACCTATTAATGAAGAGAAACACTTAAAATTAATACTTGGCTACGAGAGGAATTGGCCGGTTCCTCAGGACTCTATTACTGTTAGCATATTATCTTTCCCACATAAAGTTTAATTAATGCAGAGGAGAGAGAGTGGCACAAGCAGCAGCAAGGCCAGAAACATCAGAAGGGACAGCACGCCCCACCAATCACCCCAGCCTTGTCCTGGACACGGACAGCTGATAGAAGGCAAAGCCACGATAGAGTCAAATAGCTAAAGATAAATTTAACCTATTTTTAAAATAGTTGAAATCTCATAGGCAATGACCCTTACTTTGAGAGTTAACATTTCAAAACAGTCCAGTAGAAACTAGGCCACAGTGAAGATATTGAGAGATTAGATGTCTGTTCTGGAAGATTTGTTCAGTTTTAGTAGATGTATAGGGTAGTAGATCATATGATGAAGAAAAAAAAATCTGAAAATCTCTGAGTTCAGGATCTGGGCATTCAGGTGAATTCCAGTTGTCTTCTGGAATTTCCTAAACTTCAAAAGTTCAGCGTAGAAGGGTGCTCAATAGAAAAAAATTTTTGTAGCATTTGCTAATGTATTTATGGAGGAATTTTGCATTAATCAGCCTTTTTTGTCAGTTTGGCAATTTTGGTATATACTGTTGAGTATTTAAAGAAATAGTAAATCTATATGCATTCAATACACTTAATTTCATCATAGAGTACACAAGTTTCTTTAAAAGTCTGCTCCTAATTGCGAAGCAAGCAACATTTCCTAAGAGTCTTCCAGAAAAAGCTTCACATCCAAAATGATTTCTTGGTTTCTGCAGCAACACTTGAAGCCATCAAGGAACCCCTCAATGTATCTTCACCTTTGCTTTAACAAAAGGACCGTGGCAGGTCCAATTTCTTATTCTTGAGTATATGCATCTCCCAGTTTGTCAGTAATTATAGGTGATTTAAAAAGACCATTTTTTACAACTGCTGTTCCACTTGATTTGGCGATTGCCTTTGTATGAAGGGTGTGAAAAGGCCCTTTTATATTTGCATAGACTTGGAAAAAGGAAATAAGAACCAAGATAAAACCGCCTAAGCACAGAGATATTCAAGGACAGCGTGTTAAAATGGAACTGCTCTGGACAGTCATGTTGCTTCCTTCCTTATGGGAGGCTTATTGGGCAGGGAGCAGTCTGCACTAGGCAACACCAGCTGGTGAGGGTCTGAGAGGAGACCTGGTGCCTAGACCCTGCAGACGCTTCCACCCATGATGGATCAAGTTCTCCCAAGCAAAGTCAATGCACTAATCCATGAGGCAATGAGTTGTACACTTCGGTTCAAATAGACCTAAGTCTCCTTTATCTTCCCTGAACAGGATTTACACAAAAAGTAATTCTTTCTGATGCCAAACTCGTAATTCAGTTCAATTACTTGCTGTATTAAATTGCTGAATCCAGTGATTTATTGATTCAGTCTTAATTGTGACCTTATTTTCATCCTTGTCTTGTTCCTCCTTAATTAGTTTCATGAAACTGTAGTAAATTAGCCTCATAATGTGCTTCCTAAGCACATACTTGCTCACTTTTTTCTTTTAGTAAATTCCATAAAGAGTACATGGGGCTGGTCTACCCCTTCAAGTCATGATACGGGCCACGAACATTTGATTCTGCCTAATATCTAAAGCCCAAATTCACAAAGGCATTTGGGAGCCTAAAACCCACGTTAATAGAACTTGCTCTCATTTATGTATTTATTTGATTATTTATTTAAATGAATCGATGTCTTTTGCAAAAGTGGGAAGCCTTCCCTCGCTGAAGGTCCAGTGAGCCCAGCATGAAAAAATTAGTGCTGCTTCATTCTGCACAGGACTCCTGCTTGTAGGTTAGTTGTGTTGGCATTTGGCTGGTTCCCAGTCATCATACAGGCCATCACACACGAAGTAATGCCAAGGACTATTGCACACTCTGCACAATCACACACTGCTCTAAGAAAGGTGCAAGTTCTGTGGGGAAACGGTCCAAGCACTCATGCCAGAAGCAAGTCTGAACTTTATAGTTGGGCTTATTATCAGAGAAAAACAAAATGCTCGGTCTGAAAGGTCTTGAATTCCCAAGCTGTAAAAGCCCATTCTTTTGTCTACGCTGGACTTTCTGCACCAAATCAAAATGACTTCTGGTAAGCAAGGTCCATCACTAGCTTGTTTTCTTTCCACTTCACCACCCATCACCCAAAAGGTTGGTTCCACTACCTCTTCACAGGTATCTTCCTTACTGCATTGCACAAGTACCACATGCCAAGTGTCTGCATCCCAAAGACTGGGGACTGGCTAGGACAATTGCATACGCACAGAAGGGACTGGGACTTTCAAAGAGAGCCTGGAACAGCAAAGCCCTGAAAACATCCTGTGCTTTCTACCACTTCCACCTGAAAAACACACTTCCTACTCTGCAGGAAGGGGAGGATGCACACAGCTGTCTGTGCAGACATGCAGCCTAACTCCAGGTGCACAGCATCAGAAATAAACGTTCAGTGAAGAGTGGCGTTCGTATGCATCCTTTATTCTTTGACTGTTAGCCTCTGACATAGGTTGCTTTCTGTGTCCAGAACAAACAATCTAAATCCATTAAAAAAAAAAAAAAAAGAGGGGAGAATAAAGGTTCTTAAGGAGCTTCTTTAATGAAAGAGAAATCTATCAATTGCTGTCAGAAGAGCTGTGTTATCATAGCAGTGTGTATGTAACCATACAGTTTAAGTCATATTTCAAGAAGGGAGAGTGTTCATTAGCTTTTGTTCCAATTTGTAGTTTTCTAGTCCCTGAAGGAACCTTATGTCAGACACCCATGCCAGAAATAAAAATAGAGCACCAACGTTCCCTCCATTTTCTATTAGTGTAACTCCACTGGCATGTGCTCCTCAGGGTAAATCCCAGTAAGAGCTGCCTCTTCCCCCACCCCAAATGAGTCCTTAGCCTCACTCAATTCTCTGTCTGTCTGACTGCCAAGTTTAAGAACAATTACCAGCAGAATGATCCCCAAACAAGCACTGAACAGGAAACAGAGCTGATTGATTGATTAACTAAGGCAGAAAGCTCTCCAAACCACAGCCAGGGTTCTCTGCTCGCTTAGAGCTCTGTTTGGCACCACTGGGAGCAGCCCCGACACATTCACGCCGCCCTGGTACAGAGATGACCTCTGCTTAGCAGAAGGGAGTAGAAGTGGGTCAGACAGTGGGAAGCTGATCCCTAATGCAGGTGCAAAACGAGAGACACATTTGTAACAGTCTGGAAATCCACAGGTGGATCCACACACCCTGGGAACCATCACTTGGAGTTTTTAAATCCCGACTGAGCCAGCACAGACGCCTTAGGAAAATGCCAGACAGGGAAATCTCATGGTCCAGACCGCTGCAGTCCTCTCAGGTCTTCCAATCTCTTTCTATTCAGCCCTTACAAAGCACTATTGCCATTTTTCCTCTTTTGAAAACTGCATTTCTCATCTACATCATATGACTTCGTGATGAGAGAACTCCTGAGGTCCCTGGGCAGTGACCACAACCAACCCTGGGAACTGGATGCAAAGGCTCAGCCACAGTCAGGAGTTTTGCCTTCCAGGCAGACAGTCAAGGACAATTTAGCCCTTTATTACTGTAAGCATATGGTCATCTCTAGCAACAGAACGATCATGCCAAATACCATTTCCAATTGTGAGCCTTCCCAACAAACGAATCAATTACCACTCCTAGCTGGGATCATTACACAGCCTTGTTCCCTTCTGCATTGTTTGCTCAGTAATATTGCTCTGTGTCTTCATTAACTAGCAGTGATTCGGAAAGAAACAACCATAATTCATATTCCAAAAGTCATCCTCCCATATACCCATTCACTCACCATTCCTAATTAAGTTCATGAAAGATTAATTCCTTAATGATTATGATTTGTAATGTTAATTAATTAGCTGCTTTTCCATTAAGCATTCAGAGGTTTCCAGCATTACATCGATTCCTTAATTAGCCTGTGGTGAGTGTAAAAAAAAAGTGAGTAACCTGCTTCATTCTCTTTGTCCCTTAGGCAAATTGTATGCTGCTTGGTCTTCCAGTCCATCTCCTTTCCCACTCCATGCAGATTCCCTTTCCTCCACTGCTGCAAATGTACCTGCTTTGCTCACTCATCTTTCTAAGAGGATAACAATTTCCCTGGGGAGAAAGTACTTTGATTTCACCCCTGCCTCTCTTCATGGTCCCCAGGGTGGGCAGACCTGCAACTGAAAAGCTGCCTAGTATCCTGCTACGCCAGGACGGCCCTTTCTAACATTTGGCTTGGGATGAGAATCCCCAGGATTGCCGAGCTCTGCCTGATGCCAGCATCTGGGACAGTATCTACACTGCAATTCCAGCTAGCCTGCCAGGAGCTCCCTGCAACTTCAGCTTTATCACAGTTTCCAAGACAAACTTCTTTGGCTCCTGGTGTTGATAGGCTTTGGAGGATGCCCACAGGCGGTTTGCAAGCTCAGCCTGCCCTCTCTGCCCGGACAGCAGTGACTAGAAGCTCAACTAGCCACAAGGCTGAAGCTGCACATTAGAGTGAAAATTTTTAGTTTCTTCAGAACTTCTGGGCAAAACTCTAATTCTCAGCAATGCTCTTGGTTGGGTGCATGCTCCAGATTTGGCACCGAATGAGCACAGAACGTAGGCATTCCCCTTCTAGCCCTTACTGAGTTTTGGGGGACTCAAACCAATGGCTAAGCTGATCTGAACAATGGACCCAAGCCCAAATTCCCACTGCCTTTTCTGCTCCACATCCAGTCCCCAGCAGCCTGTGGAAGAGGCTTGCCAATATCTCCTAGAAACTGCAGAGGTGTCCATGTGTCCACGTCAGGTATGGTGACCATGAAAATGGGCATGCAGAACACAGAATGAAAAAGGACTGAAGAGACAACTGAGGTGCACGGAGCATCAGTTCACCTTTGAGGATTTTTGCACATCCAGTTCACCCACGAAGATTACTCTGAGATGCACAGACAAGAGACCTTTCTTCCCCAAACAGTCCTGGAAGGATAGCAGAGCTTGGGACTTCCCTCCAGCTCTTCTTGGCTCCCTTCACGTGGCATACAAGACTTTGCAGCCACTGGTTAGCACCTGCTCAGACTCAGAGCTGGGAACAACCAAAGAAAGTCGGAGTTGAGTGGTTAGGTTATATCCCTGATGCCTTTCCATTGCCATTTTTAGAGGTACCCCTAAGCCATGTTTCTCTAACACCATTATTCCCAAAACAGAGAGGATCTGCTGCCCCAAAGCCCTCTAACACAGAGTTCGGGGGGAATGTCAGTAACCCTGATCACCCCAAACACGGCAGGCCTGACCCAAGGTTGAAGGCCGTTTTAAAAGGACAGAGCATTATAGCTGTGGAAGGGTGTGATCTAGGGGCCTTGGCTTCAGCTCAGCATTTCTCCACACACTTACTCACAGAAAGAAAGCTTTCCACATGCTAGGTGCACCCAAGTGTGCTGCTCCACCAGCCAGGTCACTCCTTTCCTCTCCTGCAGGCAGTATAGCCACAGTCCTCAGGGGAGACCTCAGCGTTAGCCATCAGTTTGCTTCCAGGGTCTGGCAGATAAACATAGTAATGTGCAAGGAACTATTGGGATTCACAGTAAAACAGGGAGCATCTCCTACTAGACCAATGCAACAGGGTGAGGAGCTTGCACGGAGATGCTTACCAGCAGGAAAAGCTCCATACTAAAGTAATTGCAAATAAATGAGTAAGAAGCCACAATTTCTTTGTCCTTTGCACACAGAGACACTGCCATCATCATTCCCAAGCTCCGTACTGATATTATCCTGCCATTAGTTACTGCACTACACGTGGTTCCTACAACAAATTCATCTCATAGCCCCAAGCCCTCCACTTGAAGCCCAAAGCCACTTGTACTAAGTAGATCCACTGCAAAGGGTCCCCTCTGTGCGATAAACCAAAAAGGAAACCCACCAGCCCAGATTCAGTTCTCCAAATAATTTAAATGCACATTTAAGAAAAATGCTGTGAGATCAACATCTATCGACTCTTGCCCC